GATAAAAAAATTGTTTTTACTTTGTTTTTTAAACATTTGGGAGTTATAATTAAAACCCTAAAACCAAAAACTAAACAAGAATCTTCATTTGTCAAGGTGAAAAAGCGTGAGAAAGAGGCGATGGACTTTGAACGAAATAGGAGGAGAAGAACTGTCTTGAACCAAAAAGAAAAGTCTGTGTAATCTATGGTAAGTGCTTTGCTTGGTATTCAATAGTTTCCTTCGACTCTGTTTTCTTTTAGGCTAATAATATCTTTGCTTGGTATCCACGCCACCTTAACCTTTGTTTCTTGAGAGTTGAGTCCTTAATTAGATTCTCACATTATTTTACCATTTAGACAAGAAATGTTAAACATGAATTTCGACTATTAATTCTGACTACTTATTGGTAATGTAAACAGTTTATCTTACAAAAGTAACGAACAGATTCTTGTGTAGTATTATTCCTCACAAGGAATGGGAACTTGCATCGAACTTTACAACCACTGCATAAAGGTCGCGTAACACCATTGTTCGGAAGTACTTCAAGATCCGGATCTATGTGTCCCGCCTTCAAATAATAGAAATCTCCAAGCACACAATCAATATCGAGAGTAACCCCACACTCATCACAAGTATAGTAACGTTCACTCGGATCCGTCTTGAACTCACAAATATCACACCACAAGTCACCACTCGAGTTTCCGACACCTTGACGTAGTGACAAAAAATGATCATCACACCTATGTTTCACCTTTCTTGGTAAAGTAGCACACTTCATGCATAAAGCGTACTCACAAACCGTACAACTTAAAGGATTCTTAGTTTCTCTGTCACAAGCTTGACATTCTTTCGAACCTTCCAAGGTCCAATATAAGGGATGTGGATGCAAATCATGGTGAAACGGTTCTGATACAGAACTACACCGAACATCATACACAAATTTTTCTTTGCAACCGTCTTCACACTTGTACCTAAAACCATTAGAATTTGTTTTGCAAGCTCTACAATAAAAAACAACCTCGTCAACCCGTAGAATAAGTTTATGGTTGTGCAATAAATGTCGTTTCTTCCGAGGAAGACTAGCACACGCTTTGTGAAGGATGAAATCGCATTCCACACATTTGTAGCATGGATCGCCGTTTATGGGAAGAACACAACCTTCGCAACGCATATCCGTATATGCACAATTCTCATCCAATCTTAGAATATGATTCTCATGACTAAAATGAATGATATCTGTTTCATTAATTACCTCGAAAGGATCTTGGATCTCTTCTTCTACCTCCGGCACATCTTCCAGCTCCTTCCCGTCCCACACTTCATATCTCGTTGCACATTTTGAATGAACGGCGTAACTAGGACAACGAGAGCATTTGAAAGCTCCGTAGACCCAATCAATCTTCTTCCGACATACTCCACACTCCCAATCTCTTTCTCCTTGACCAAGATGAAAAGTATGAGAGATACGATGTTCATGACGATTGATGGTTATGACTCGCGGTAGATCAATACAGTCTTTGTGGAGCATCAGATTGCATTCAAGACACACATAAGGATTGCGGTCGCCTTCCACACCGCATGCATTACAAGTAAAAGTGACTAGCCTCAACAAGAGTGTGAGGCTATGCTTGTGGTGCTTCGGTTGAAAAATAGTGAGCGGTGGTGGATTCTTCACACAATCTATATCCATGCTTATGTTGCATATGGTGCAACGAGCATACAAAGACGATAGATTCTTTCGACAAAAATGACAATGGTCATTCTCATGTTCAAATGGTGAACCCGTAAAGAACTTGAGAAAGTGATTGCACTGAAATGGGCTGTGGTTGATGAAGGGCTCGACGCATTCTTTGTGCACCACGAGCTCGCACTCCATGCAAAGGTAAACAATGCCTCGTTTCTCTTTTGATGAGCACAAAAAGCAGAACCAAGATTGGTCGTCGTCAACTATAAATAGTGGATGATCATGAAACGGCAGCATTTGTTTAGACATATCGTTCCTGATTTGGATTTGGTATGAGAGTTTTCTTTTTTATACGAAAGAAAGGAAACAAAGCAAAAGTGAAGTTTCAAGTCTTTTCTTGCGAGGGCTCTTCTTGATCATGTTAATATAGACTCATCTTCTTGGAACTCACAATTTTAGCTGTAAGATATATATTTTTATATTATCAATGGACTGATGAACCGGCCGACACTGCCAGCTATTTGAAATAAAAATACTACGCACGTTTACAAGCCTTCCTTACAAAAAGATGGTAGAAATTTGCCAACCAGAACGACTTTGATATTTTTGTGTGGAAAACATATAATTTTGAACTTACCAAAAAATCGATTAGGTGGTTATCCTTTAAGTTTCAAAAATCAACACAACTATTAAATAGATCTACCGGCTACTAATACTATAACATATCCTTTGCATACAGTACTATTCGTAGTTTCTTAATTAAAGTTTGTATAAACAAATAGAGGTGGGTTTCCAACATATAAATTATTGAAACCTTAAATAAGTCTAACCAGCTGTGAAATAATGACACACGAACTAATAGTCTAATACTAATCATAGTATATGACTTTCCAGGAACTTGCTAGCTAGACAAAACCAACATGGCGGGTTTCTTGGGTTTTCCCGTTACCCTAAAATTTTAAGTAATGCATGATCACGATTTATCACAGTAAATCGAGTTTCCTATATAGCAAAAAAAAAAAAAGAATTAATCGAGTTTCTCAAACTTAATTTGTTTTCTTGAGTGCTTATTGGATTCTGAAATTTTGCTTGCTTATAAATCGTTAGTTAGTTAACTTGTATGAGAAATTTATATATACCTAACCGTTATGTTTTAACTCACACATGAAAATTAAATTAAGTGTGACATCCAATAATAGTCTCAAAAGCTATCATGTTGTCGATATCTTAAAAC